AAGATTTTAGAAATGTGGTCCAAGATTTTAGAAATGTGGTCCAAGATATCAGAAACGTGGTCTAAGATATCAGAAATGTGGTCTATTATAAATACAATCTCATATATTATAAATGTAATAATACAGTATAATGCTAAAAACATTGAGGTACTCACTGAATTGTGGAAAAAGCTGCCGAGATGCTTTGCCCACGGACACCTGAAACACAGAGAGAGATTGTGAGCCCTGCTCTGAGGGAGCCCCAGGATTTCCTGTGTGGCTCTGGGGCAGTTCCACACTCACATGTGCAGGTTCTCTGCAATGATGTTCAGGGTGAAGAGGCCAATGTTTTGCATCTCCTGGTGCCTGCAGGTCAGGAACAGGCACAGGAACTCACCCACGTACTGGGCCCCGAGGTTCTGCCACCTGCAAACAGAGGGGCTGCTGAGACAACTCACCTGGGCTGCTCCTGCCATTGGCATCCTTGCCTTCTCCAAAGCACTGGCTGCTTTCCAAGAGCTGAGGATTATCTCTGCTCTGCTATTTCCATAAACAAACAGAGCTCAGGAGCCAGTGTTTACTCACAGTTTTAGCACTGTTGCTTTCTGACGACTGAGGTCTCTCAAAATCAGGGTGACTGTGCCATGGAGAACGTGTTTTTCGTAGGAGAGGTGCTCCAGTAACAGCCTCAGAGCCCAGAAGTTATTCTAGGATGAGATAAAGCAGGATCAGTGATTTAACTGAGGTAACATCAATTTCTTAAAAAAAAAAAAACAAAAACAAAAAAACCAGCTGAAAGACTAAAATAAAGAGCAAAGCTGAAACAAGTTAAATGTGTCTAAAACCTCCAGGAGGGTGTTGCAGAGATTTTAAATGCCATTTGATTTAATCTCTTAGAGCAGAAATCAGTACCCAGCACTCACCCCAAAGGCCAGGGCTATCTCCAAGAAGGAAGTCAGGTATGGAAGGTCACAAAAGAGCATCCGTTGCACTGCTTTTACTGCCATGATGAGACAAGCCTCGTGGTGCAGCTACAGGAGAGGCATCAGCAGCAAGAGAAAGAGGTTTAAAAGTCCATTTTCCCACTATTTTATATTGTATCCAGTCAAATCAGCTCCTCCCATTTCAGCCAGAGGTTGGAGGTCAGGCAACACATCCACAAGAATTTCATGAAGAGCAAAAAAAAGAGGGAGTAAACAGGTATTTTATTTATGCAGCTGGTTCACCTGGTGCTCTCCAAGTGCTCGCAGAGCCATGAAGCCACAGAAACAGAGAATTAAAGGGAAAAAACTCCAACTCAAGAGTGACATATCTGGAGAATAAACTGAATTTCCTCAAAAGAAGTAAAAAAAGATGAGACAGCTCCTCAGATGTACTGACTGCATTGAATATAGAATATTTTCCCAGTCACCTTCAAAATGCTCCTCTGTATTTGAAACCCTAATTTAAGGAAAATTTAGAAATTCTGGGCTATTCTGAGTGTTGAGACAAGCAGTGACAAGCTTTTAAAGGACAGTCTCCTGTTTGAACCAAATAAAACAAGATCACCCTGGCAGACATTAAAACAGAATCAATTCTTACCAGCCCTCCCGCTTTATAAATGCATAAATTTGGACAGTTAGGAAATAAAACTTGTCCTAGACTGAAGATGTGTTAGATCAGAACAGACCTTCACAGTTTTCTTACCTTCAGATCTCTGCTCCAGCCTTTAATCTCTGCTAAGAACAGTTTTAAGCTGTTTCCCCCTAAAAAAACCCTCTTCCAGCCCCTCTTAAAAGCTTGTTATAACCAAGCCCTGTTTGCACCAGTGCTGTATGTGAGGCACAATAACCCAGATGGTAAATTCCCTTATTGCCATGAGCACACCCACCTGAGGAGAGAAAATAGAAGGTGGCAAAGAAACATTAACTTTGGCCTTCAGCTCCTCCAAGAGGCTCCCACTGGCAGCCAGGACTCCCTGCAAGGGAAGGAGGATGGACAGGTCAGGGATGGACAGACACTGCCCACACCTCAAACAGCACCAGGATGGTTCTTCAATGATCTTTGGTAGAATCCTGGAATGGTTTGGGTTGGAAGGGACCTTAAAGCTCATCCAGTTCCAGCCCTGCCATGGGCAGGGACACCTTCCACTGGCCCAGGTGGCTCCAAGCCCCGTCCAACCTGGCCTTGGACACTTGCAGGGATGGGGCAGCCACAGCTTCTCTGGGCAACCTGTGCCAGGGCCTCCCCACCCTCTCAGCCAAGAATTTCTTCCCAATATCCCATCTAACCCTCCTTCAATGTGAAGCCATTCCTCCCTGTCCTGTCACTCCAGGCCCTTTGTTATCTGATCCATGTCCACATGAACAGGCACAGAATCAGCACCAGGCACTGAGCTGGGAGCAGAATTAACCTGTTTCCAGCTGCCTTTAACACTCCTGAATCCCAACATTCTGCAGAGTGTTACACTTGGCACATAAAATGGAGCACTGGATGAGGCCCTGGAAAGTTACCCCAGCATTGAGGAGAACCAGTCAGTGCCCACATCAAAAAATCTTGTATAAAACCAAGACAACAGATTCTCCCACTTCCCAGCACTGTTCCACTTACCTCCTGGAAGTCAAGTGGTGGCTCTTTCAGGGATAAGGGATTTAGGTGCCCACTTTTTGCCAGCAAATTGCTACTGCCCAAAACCATGATGAGGGAACTCCAGCATTTGGGCTGAAACACAACAGGACATTGACATTATCGAGTGAAATCTGCCCACAGAGGTATGAATTATTCAGGGAAAAAAAGGTTCTGATGGTAAATCCTTGCCTTGGAGAAGTAACAGGACAGAAGAAGTAATTTAGAGAAAGAGTTTTAATGACTCACATTCCTGTACAG